GAAAGCAAACCCAGGCGTGCTGTGGAAATTCATGGTTGAAGCTACCGTGGTCCATCTGCCACTGCAAGCCACACGCACATGGTACTGCGAGACGCAGCTGGGGCCCGGCTCCTGGAAGGACAGGCAGGAGGGAGGAGATACTCACGTCTAATAGTGCGCTTGTGTCTACGCTGAAGCCGTGTGTGGTCAGCATCGTCTGAAGGTTATCCAGGTTGGAATCGATGGTGTCCAGATGGTCGTTGAGTTCACTCCTGTGCAAAAGAAAGCGGAGCGCAGGCGATCAATGCTGAGAAGCCTCTCCCAGGTTCTGGGCTACTAAGGGGACTTTATCCACCCCAGGGCTGCAACCCTCCTACAACCCGAGCAGGAGAGCGGGGCTGGGATTCCTGGCTCTGCACGGACGCCGGCTCCCGCTGCCAGCGAGCTCAGGTGTGCTGCTGCAGCACTGCAGCGGTGCTCTCCCCCTCTCTCCACCTAGTCCTCTGGCCTGAGCCTGGAGACACCGCTAGGACTCTTCTTCCCAAGAGGCCCGAGGGCGAGCAACCCAGACGAACGAGAGACAGTGAATTTCTTACGAACCCCAGGATTTCTGCAAGCCATTTAGGCTCTGTGGTTAGGGGCTCGGCAACCACCAACCACCGTGGGCTGGCAGGGATCTCGGTGCAGCTGCGCCTTTACAGTAAGTAGCTTTGGACCCTTTTTCGGTCCAAACACAAGGACCGCCTCCGCTCGTCACATCCCGGTTGCAGATACGTGACAAAGAAAGGGTAACAAACCTTCTTCCCTGCAGCAACTTGCTTTGGGGGAGAAGTTTCAGAGGGACCACTGCTGGCCAGAAAAAACCTCCACATCTCAACTGGCGACGGGGAAAACAACATTTGTTCATCGGGAGATGCAGTTTCTAGTAACAATGGAGGGAACTAAAGCTGCTTCCGTGTACCTGGGGAAACAAACCTTCCCACTGCATCCCGACCTGCGCACATCCCTGCACGGCTCCTGGCCGCACCAGAGCCTACGTGGTGGGGCACGGGGGGGGAGAAGCACCAAGCTCCCACGTACATCACAGCTCACTTGCTGGCACAACAGCAAGTCCAGGATGAGGACTAACAGTGCAATTCACCTCAGCTAACTTTGCCACTGAAAGCTGGTATCTTGCCAAAGCCAGGCTCCCTCCATAGCCACCCGAAAACTGGACGCTGTGCTGGGATGGACAGCACTGAGGTGCCAACCCCCCAAGCCAGGCCGTGAGACAAACCAGGCCGGCTCCGAGGACACGGCTCGTTCCCTCCTACACAGCTCTGGGATAACTTTGCGGACCAAGGTGGATGGCAGAGCATGAGCAATCCTGCAACGATTGCTTTTAACTGACTTAGACCTCGGGCTGCGAGACTGAGCTCCAGAGAATGGTCATCTGGATCACAGAAGGGCAGCGAGGGCTGCAGAGGTGATGGTGAGGTTGGGAACTGACCCCCACACCCTCTTAATCTCTAGTTCCACGGCGCTCGTGGTGTTATGTTCGTGATGCTTCAGAATAATAGAAGAAAAGTGGATGACATAAACCTCATGGTGCTACCAAAAAGCCTGCAAGGCTCTCTGAAGAGCACTCGCGGGAAAAAGTCACGTTTGCTAGTAGCCCGGGGTCTGTCCCATGAAAAGCCCCTGAATTTGGCAACATCAGCAGTAGCAGGTTCAGTTTATTGCACAGCCGTCAGTTCTGGCGTGGCCTCGTGTTCGATCCACCATGTTCTCTGCCCTAAAAAGGCTCTTTTTGGCTACTGAAGGTGCTCACGAGGGACCAGCGGTGTAGGTCCCACACAGGGAGACCCAGAACTGGCAGGCGAAGAGGAAGATGTCAGAGAGGCACCGGCAGACGTGCACAAGCACAAGGCACACAGTGAAGCTGCAGTTTTCAGCCTCACGTGAATTAGAAGAACGCCAGGAAGCTACTTCTCTTCTTGGAGGGTCTGTACCTGCCGTGGAGTTTGTCCCCCCCAACTACCACTGCCACCAGCATTCCGCAGAGGAGCATTTCTGCGATGATCCCTTTGGGAGACTGACCGTCCCCGAGCCCGCGCAGTGCTGCGGACACCCGGCTGCGGGGGTACGGACTCGGCCACAGCACGGGCAGTTCCAGGTCCCTGGACGGCTTGGCTGCCCAGGGGCCGGTGCACCTCGCACGAGCCTCCCCGGCTTGCCACTCCAGCGCTTTTACATGCTCTCATCCTACAGCAGCACCACGAAGATTACAAAACCAAGCCTATTTTGTCGCTGCTGCAGAAAACGAAAAGAGGCCGCAAGGTCACACTGCAGCTCAGAAAGCCTAGCAGCAGAAACGAGCGTCCTGCCAGAACAACAAATATCCTCATTCTGGGAATACTGTGCTTGGGGCCGCAGGAAAGCTGGCTGCATTCGTGCCTTACCTCTCTTTTTTTTTCTCCCGTGCATGCAAGCGGGAGCTGCAGAGATCCGTAACTCTTTTTTAGAGCTAAGGTCCACGAACATACTGCAAATAAATTACTTATCCAAGTTTGTGCTTTTAAATGACTTCCGAAGTCCTCACTGCACAGCGCCTGAAATGCTCTGACAGATGTAAGATACTTTCAGCAATCCCACAATTAGGAACCTCCAGCAGCGTGGAACGGGCCAGCCCCAGCCAAGGTGTCAAGGTGTCAACCCCACCTGTGACACGCCGGTCCTTCCACCCCGAAGGGGATGGGGTCCAAGCAGGGGTATGACCCAGATCACGCAAAAAGTGACACTGGCATTAGGCTGCTAACAAACTCCAGACCTTCGAAGCAAGTCTCCCTGTTTCTTTGCAGAAGGAGAGAAGGGGCCCCCGAACCACTGCTTTCGACGTTGAACTGGGAACTGGTAGTTGCCGCCTGGTTCCCAGCGCTGCCGGCAGGTAACCCTCCCCGCAGGTCCTGCTCTGCTGTGCTAAGCTACATCCAACACCAGGCTAGGTTTGCCATCAAAAAGTGCTCACAGAGCGGGGAAGAAGGAGGGAGTGCGGTTCCCTGGAGCAATGCAGTTTCCCTTAACTTTCCAAGTGCGTTGTGGGTCGAAGCAAGAGGAACCAGCGTCTCCAGGAGAGGTAAGAGGTTGCTGCACAAGGCACGGAGATGCAGGGGGCTGAAGGCTCCCTAAGGTCTGTGCCTGTGTCCCTAAAGCCCGGCAGCCCCAAAGGAGCAGCCTGAGCCAAGTGTGGCCGAGGAAGGAGGCCAGGAGCTCTCCGTTCCCCTGAGACAGGCCAGGCTCTGAAGGTGAGGAGACCATCTCCAGTGCTGAGAGATCAACACCTTCTCTTCAAAGCTGATACTCCAGTGAAAGGCCTTCCCGGTGCCTGCAGCCCACGGGAAGAGCAGGGCACGCTCTCTGGGAATGGAAGAGCCAGCAGCAGCACGTGCTGCAGCGCCTGCCACCCCCGCAGCACCAGGCTGCATCAACCGGGGGGAAGAGACAGGGAGCTCCGACACGAGGGTCCCACCGAATCGCTGTGTCCCACGTAACCCGCACCAGGCCCCGCAAACTAACGGCTGAATCCCTGGAAAATGTGACGGTCACCGGACCGATGATACAGGATCGGCGACGCTGACACAGAAGAGCTTTGCCTGTCCCCAGGTATGTGGATGTGCAGGGAAAGGGGGACTGGAGAGATTTTGGAGGTGAAGAATAACCCCGTGCTAAGTGCACGCCCCGGCTCTGCTTTCCCCGTCACGCCAACCATCCCCACACTCAGTGCATCTTTGCGGCAAGCTCCCCGGGTCTTGCTCCGCTTTCTGGCTGCCAACCACCTCGCAAGAATAACAAACCCCGGCTGCGCAGCGCGCCTCGCTCCAGCGCCGCTTCCTCGGCTCCCGGGGCGGCCCCGCAGAGCACGGGCTCTCGTGAGACCCTCGCCGTCTGAGTTTCCACCTGATGAAGTGATGAAAGTCAGCCTGCGTGGTGTGGTCTCGCTCTGTGTGGGCTGGTTTACAGTCTGAGAAGTAGCTATGTAAAAATAGCACCTTCTTACTCAACAGATCTGCTCTCCGTGGGTCTGCCTCTCTTCCCCAGCAGAAAGATGTGTTTAATACCGATGCCGGGGTGGGCCCTGGACACTGGGCGAACGAGCCAGGGCACGCTGTGCCAAACCCCCTGCCAGGGAAGCCCCGACCACGCGATCCTTGCTATGACTGATGGAGGCAGCAGAAAGCACGCGACCTGCCTCTCCCTCCGCCGGGAACCAGCTGAGCTGGCAGTCGGGAGCAGCAGCTTTTTATCGGGGGAAAAAGGCACATTTTGATATGGACGCTGATGAGAGAACTCCATCTGCCAGTCGCCTGCCATGCCTCCAGCGCTGCCTGCTGCTGCCCCTGCATGTGCGTTATGGCAATGCAGCTGCCTGCAAGCTCAACCAGTGCCCAGCACCACTGCTCGTGCCAGTGTGATCCACGGCCACGACGAGAACGTCCTTCCCAGGAAGGACCTGGAGCTCCCGTGGAGCTCCTGAGCTCCAGCGCACGGTTCTCCGATCTCCGTCAGGCGCAGCCAGTGCTTTAGCAGGGAGCAGCTCCCAGGTCGCCAGCCTGGCTCCCCTCCCTAGCAGAGCTGCCCGACCCTTCTGATCCTTAACCCTACGAAGTACGGGCTGCTGGCTATTTCCCAGAAACAAATGACTGGGCACCAGACACTTCTAGGTGACAAGCAACCCCCCCCCCAGTCCTCTGAATTTGAAGCACCGAAGATGTGCAGAGCTGTTTTTCTTCCCTGTATTGCTTTCCTTTTCAAATGTTCCATTTTCTAAAAGCAAGAAGACAGAGCAGCTTTGCAACGATCATCACATTTACGTAGGGAAAAAGCAGTCCCCTGGACCCTGCGCTCTCCCCAGGCCATCATGCTGCTGTCTGTCTGTACCTGGGAAATGGGCTCGGGGCGTAGGACAGCAGGGCCCGGGTCCCACCAAGCCTGCAAACAATAACCAGAGCAATAAGCAACGATTCCTGCAACGACCACCTCTGACATAACCCCCGAGGGGGAGGCGAGACACCAATTCAGAAATGCATTTTAGCTCAAGACATATTACATTTGTCTTTTGCATTATTCCGTGTATTAGCTAAAAGTATTTAAGGGCAATACTTCAGACAGTTTTTCCTCGGTTCTGTGGGAGACAGGATACTGGCCTAGATGGATTTTGTCCTGATCTGGGATGTTTTTTATTACGGAAAAGCTTTATTAGAAAAGCACCTTGGTGCGCAGTCAGGTTTGCAGTGGGAAGTTTCATTGTTCTGTCATTATCATAGAAACGGAAAATGCATCAGAAAAGTCATTTCAGCCCTGAGCTCCCATCGCTTTCCAATGCAACACTTTGTTACTGAGGTGTGTGAATTTTGTGCTGGCAAGAGACACGAAACCAGCAGCTCTCAGGGCTGAAGTTTCCATTCATCAAAACCAGGTACAGCATGGACAACAGCAGAGCAGACTTCCCTCCCTTCCCTGCCAAGACCACCTAAAAGGATGAGAAGCAGTTTAGCCTCCGCTGGCCACTCAGTATTTTTAGTTGCTGTGTTGAGCTGGCCAAGAAGTCTGCCACTCAGTGCCAATTTTTAGAGCGAGCTTTTTCCTTGCTGATATACTACCTATAATGTTAGGAAAGCTGACTTCAGCGCACTGACAGCTCCCTGCTTACTGCAGTGTTCCCCTGCGCTCTCGCCCAGAATTGCAACGCTTTGGGGACAGCGGCTATTGAAATGCTAACCCTTGCTGTGATCTGCAATGAAGTGAGGAAGAGGAAGAACTGGGGCAAAGACGAGTGACCTCTGACATCTGCGAAGTGCGAGTCAAACTGAAAAATACAAACAGAAGAGGATACTAGATTCAAAAGACTCACAATCAGGCACTTTCAGGAATGAAACGTTTGTTACGTTCAAAGGCAAGAACAGTTAATCGACCATGCTCCCGCACGTCAAGCGGCGTGGTGGGCACCGCACTGCAGTCACGGCACTGCGGCGCTTTGGAAGCGGGCAAGCAGTTTCAGGCTGGCGGAATCGTTATTAACAACAAAAAACAAACACGAAAACAAACAGTCCTGCGAAAGCAAGTGGAGACAGCACAGGCTCGTTACAGCACAGCCAAGCTCAGTCAGAAGTTTTCTCAGCAAGACAAACTACTTCCGACGTGGGTCTGCTTCTGTTAACTCCTGCAGGGTGGCACTGACACGGGGACCACAGTCACCGTCACCTCTAACAGGGCGACAAAGCTCTGGGAGAACACAGGCGCTGGCACACAACGCGTGTCCCGTTCAGACAGGGAGTGACCTGCTGCCCTACGGAATACATACGTTACGTTAGTAATGTGGGTGTCAATGTTTTTCAGCACGTAGGGGGCTTTGGCTCTTGTAAAGCGGCTCACGTAGGTCCCCCGGCTGGATGGCGGATAATGTTTGGGCAACACCGTCACGCGTTTCCACGCAAACATTCCCTTTTATTGCCTGAATCTTGGTTCTGTCACCTGCTGCTAAAATGCTGTTGTTCGCACTGAGGTAATTCTCAGTTCAAATGAAAATCCCTTGGACAAAGGATGTCTTGTAGATTAAATGACAGCCCGCACGGCTCGCAAAGGGGCACTGCATGCCATGACCTGCGGTCTTACGGGCTGCTCTTCTCCAGCAAATTTGAGAACAACTGAAACGTGCTTCATATGATGAAAAACAGGTATCGCTGAGACTCCTTGGCAGGCTGTCAGTGCCTGGGTCAAGCGAGCGGCATTTGGGCACCCCTGCTGCACTGTAAAGTCACCTACCATCAGTAAACACTTCCCTTATTAGCTGCATCTCAACACAACGAGCAAACTCCTGGGAATTTAACAGAAGCCTCGGAGAAAGGGCGCTGCACAGTGTCACGTCCTTGGTGCAGCGCACACAGCGCACCAGGACACGCAGCTTGTTTGGCCCCAAAGCCTGAGGAGCGAGCACTGAGTGGTGAGCTCTGGCCGCAGGACGGGGCACACGGCGAGGCTGCGTGCCTTGGCACGGGGCGCTGAGAAGACTCTGAAGCAGGGTCTGATACGCTCCCGGGGACGTGACAAGCAGTGTGCTGCCCATCTAAAACAGCTCATTGCCAGCATTTCCATTCGCAGGTCATCCTTTCTGCCTTTCAGTATCTCAGTGCAATTCACGCTCTGGTCATTCCACCTCCCACTGGGTACCTACGACTGCCGGCCGGCTTCCACTCCACTCAAGTGGATGCGGAGTAGCTGCAGTGACATTGGGAAAGGAGCCGAGGCTTCGGCACGCTGGGCATACGGACCTCCTTCTCCGAGTTTATATTCCTCTGACATAACAGGACACACGGAGTTCAGTAACCTCAACGAACAAAACTGCACGCGGAGATGCTGAGGCACAAAGCTAATACCATCCAAACCCAGAGGAGAGCGGAGGCTGGGGATTCCTTTTATTATTTACACTTTGCCTTCAAATTCCCTGGGGCAGGGACAGATTTTCTGTTAGATGGTCACACTCTGTCTAGCGCTGTGCACCCACGGGGTCGAACAGTATGCTACAACTCTTCTTTTACAAATTCATGTGGCAAACGGGCTAGGAGCTGAGAGATGGATACAGGACTACTGCATGGCTGGGAATCCTTACTGGCCAGATTCCTTCCTTCTGGAATGCCCTCTAAAGGAACTGCAAATAGAAGAGAGAAGCACAGTGTCGCTTGCGAAATGCGGGAGTAAGAGCACCAAAAGAAGAGGAAACACAAGCCCTTTCTTTTAAATGGTTCTAAGAAGCTTTCTAAGACGAAGCGTGGAGCTCAGTCTCTGCAGGGGCAGGGGGGGCAAATGTTTTCTGTGTCCTTTGCCTGCTTCTGCACAGCCCGTGAGAGTCCTTCACAATTCAGAGACACTCTCGGCAGCACTTTTTTTCCATTTTTATTACCTTTTAAATGGCCAGTTTCAGCTTCTGATGAGCTGTACAATAAAATCTGTCACTTTTTAAGGACAGCTGGTATCGGTGAGATGGATTGCAGTGCCCTGGACAGGTCTATAAATAGGTGAAGCTACAGACAAACATCTCCTCCAAGGTGAAGAGGAAGGAGCGAGCAGGCGTCTCCTGACTCTGCGTTACTCTGCGGTGTAAAGACAGCACACTGCGCTCCCAACAGGCTATAGCCCCTGCTGTGGTGTGCTGTGGTGGGAGCCCGTGAGAGTCCTTCATAATTCAGAGACACTCTCGGCAGCACTTTTTTTCCATTTTTATTACCTTTTAAATGGCCAGTTTCAGCTTCTGATGAGCTGTACAATAAAATCTGTCACTTTTTAAGGACAGCTGGTATCGGTGAGATGGATTGCAGTGCCCTGGACAGGTCTATAAGTAGGTGAAGCTACAGACAAACATCTCCTCCAAGGTGAAGAGGAAGGCGTGTGCTGGCGTCTCCTGACTCTGCGGTGTAAAGACAGCAAACCCTGCTCCACTGCGCTGCCAACAGGCTATAGACCCTGCTGTGGTGGGACAGCCTTCAGCTGTCTCTGTACTCACTGTGTAATGTTAAAGGAAGAGGGCTTCTTCCACAGGTTTTGTCCCTTCTCCATCTAGAGCTATGACACTACGGCTCTGAAAAGTGACAGCTAACATAGAATTAATTAGAAGGGAAGTGCACGTCACACTGTTGTCACCTTGGGTGTGTGAGTCCACAGCAGCCTTCTGGCTAAACGAAGGCTGTTTTCCAGGACCCTGAAACTAATTGTGTCTTCTCCAAATTGCTTTTACGCTTTAAGGACAGAAAGTCTGTCCTGGCATTCAGAGGGAAGACCTCAATTCCGATACTCCGTTTTCCCCAGAAGACGGGGAGAACGGGAAGCGGCCGAGACCTGGGAAGTGGCTGAGATCTCAGTACGGTCAAGGGAGAAGTTCTTGGCAGTTTGCTAAGGACAAACAACCTTCTAGTTTTTCATCCCAACACTTGCAGTTGCATCTGTGAGCACTGTGTGGTGATAAAAGACGTAAGACTACACATCCGATCCCTAATAAAAAGCTACCCATCAACGTTCAGCCTGCCACCCACTGAGTCCAGCCTAAGTCTGATGCAAGCTGTGTCCTAGTGAGTAAAGAGGCTGAGTGGGAGAATCTATTCACCACGTCTAGAACTAGGTGGGCAAACGACAGCTGAATGCAAAGCTTCTTCCCTTATTAATTTGGAGGGCAGCTGGGACAGGCAAAAGCAGAGGACGGCACAGGGGCAGTGCTACAGTGCACACCGTCGGAGCAGGCTCATGGAGAAATGCTGCCCACAGCGGTTCCAAGTCTCACCTACGGGTAAACCCACTGGGATGAAAGCTTCTAGCAAGCAACACTGGAAGCCGCCTGCACCGTGTGCCCGTCAGCTGCCTTTGGACTGCAAATGCAACGCAGAAGCTTTTATACCGTGAGGATGTGCTGGGCCTGAGATGAAACAGCTGATCTTACACTGACTCACCCCTACGCTGGAGGAGCAGGTAGTTTGAACGAGCCCTTATTTAGCACAGTGATTTTTACCCGTTCTTATTTTGGCATCCCACGTGGCTCCCTGCAGCAGAGTGTTGGGTTCCCCACGCAGGGGGTTTAATTCTGCGCGTGGGGTCGGGTGGTGGGATACACTCATTGCTCCAAGCAGAACAGGAATGGGAGAACAAGGAATCTACCCGGGCACTTGGGGGGAGGGCTGTGGTCAGAGCCACAGGCGAGCTCCTTGGACAAATGACCACATTTGCTTCCAAAACTGGCTGGAAGCCCAGGTTGCTAGCATCTTTAAAGCTTAACAGTACAGAGCGGTGGGATGGCTGGCAAGACCTGAGCTGGGCCGGCCTCAGCACAGCACTTACTTGTCGAGGCAGGCAACGCTGAGGCACTTTTCCTGGGGCTGAGGCTGTGTGGTGCTGTCGCCGGCTGCAGCGGTCGTAGTGCTGGGTTCATTCTCCTGCAGGATGGAGTCAATGAATGTGGAGGGGGACAGAGGAGTTTCAACAGCAGGAGGGTTCCCTGGGCTGGCCTCCTCTATCTGGGGGCTGCGGGCGGGACTAGGGGGTTCTTCTTTGATACGGACCACAGGACTACTCCTGAGAGAAACAGAAAGAAAACTGGTAAAAATCTCACGGTAACACATTCTCGATTTCCAAGATCTGCTTCCACACAATAGGGCAAAAAATCCTCGTGACTGCTGTTGCCTTTTCACAAACAAAGCCTCCAGAGTCAGCCACAAAGACGAGGTTGAACGAGTACCTAAATATTTCTTCTCTGATTCTGATCCTAATCAGCTCCCCTGACACACCGATGTCTTGCGCTGTTACTGCAATCTCAGCGTATTTCTTGTGGCTAAAGGTTCGTGAGGCTGCTCAGTCCAGGACCTGCCATGCAGTCAGCTCTGTACAGGCAAAGTTACTGGAAGGAGGGTGTGATTTTTCTTTAACAGTACAGTTAAAATAATGCAGCTTTTGATGTGGACATAACAGCACAGAAGTAGCACAGCGTATATACCCTTTTTTAAAGTCACCACTGAGACGTGCATGACATAATCATCACCATACCAGAGGCTGTAGTGTTTTAACTGCTCCCACAAGGTCAGCGGAGTGACTCCTTTGTGCAGACAAAGCCTGGGATCGACCTTTTACATAAGCGCCCAGGCATTTTCAGATGTACTATTTTTATGGGAAGGGAAGACAGCTTCTTTGGTCAGCTCTAATTTTACCACCCAAACTCACTGATACGGGGGTGTAAGAGGCACAATTAGTCCTACTGGAAAGGACAGCAACTACAAAAGGACAGAGAAAAGGGCCGGTAAGCAAAACATACGGTCTATATTTAAAAGCGAGTGTTCCTGGCAGAGGGTACTAAAGGCAATAAATGGCATTTGTGGGTGATTCAGCACCTCAGGGGAAGTGCCAACGCCAGGAATAACCTATTAAAGAGGAAGAAGAAAAGGAGTCGGGAGACCACAAGGTGCTAAGGGGAAGATGGGCCCTTCTTAACCCGGGGAGGCTCAGAAAGTTCGAGAGCCGCTGGTGCTTGGTGGGAGCGGGGCTGCAGGGAGTAAGGGCTGAACAGCCACATCGAGGGACGCAGCGGGAGGCTTTGACTGATGCAGAATGGCGTCGGCGGAGGCACGCAAGGCTGAGTATTACCTACGGCATCTGAGGACAGGTCTCACCTCTGCTAGGGCCGGTAAATCTGAAGGAGTTGAAAGCACTGCTGCTGGGCGCTGGCTGACCTGTATTTGCTAGAGATTCTCAGCCTCTTCACCCGTGCTGTTCGGGATAGAGCTGTCGTTGTTATTCTCAGTTACTTGGGAACGAAGCTGCTTTCTGCACCTCCTCCTCTGTGCAGCAAGTTTATAAGGGCAGGGCGAAGCTAACCCCGCTCCCAGGACGTTGGTAGTTTCACAGGACGGAGCACACAGGCCAACGAAGACGGCTTCCTTGTGGAAACCAAACTGTGACCCACCCCAGACAGGTTCACACTAGACGGGGCAGGCAGAGGAGTGAGTGATTTTGGAAAAGAGAATTAAAGCTGAACAAAACCAACCAACCAACCAAAAATCTGCTGAGATGGCAGCGTCCTGAATGAGACTATCCGGGAGGGACAGGTCCAACTTTCTGTAAAGTCCTGGTAAGGTAAGCAGGATTGAGCTCAAACACCCCGAACGTCCCCTGTGCCAAGGGCTGCGCTGTTTTCCAGCTGTTGCTCTCCGGGGATTCTTGACGGAAGAGGCATGTTTTAATGGTGTTTGACTACTCAGCTCATTGGGAAACGCATTCTCCCTATGCAGATAGCTTCAGATTTTACGAGAGGAACAGCATACCTTTCATCGAGACTGCCGCTGGGAGATGCCGAAGGGCTGGACTGGGCTAGCTCGGTCACGTCGGAGATAATGGGACCAGAGTTGGCTGAAGAATCCGGGGAATACAGGTTGGAGCCACTATATGCTGGGGAAGAAGCCTGAAATGACAATCACAGCATTCGCGGTGTGAAGCACTAGGCACGCATCGTACGCCGTCCCATGTATGGGAGATGGAGCAGGAGGAGGCACATCGGAACAGCCCGAAGTCCTGACCCACCCAAGGAAGAAGGCAATGTGGGACTCAACACGATGCCTAGAAATACACTGTTGCCCACCCAAAGCACTACTAAAAAAAAATAAAATTGGACTTCTGTTCTGTAAACTTCATTTTCTTGGAAAGAATGGAATCTAAAAAAGTAAAAATACCGGATTCTTTTTCTGGATCATTCAACACTTGAGTTTTTAGAAACCCAGATTTTCAGCTTTCCCCTTCCACCAAAACTCTATTCTTTTTCTCTTAAATGAAAGCTGAAATTCGTATGACTGAGACCTACAGACGTAAGATATACAAGATTTCCATGCTGGTAACATGGAGTGGTTGCATTTTGGCATCAATCTTTCTAAGGAGCAAATTCATTGAGACATTTGAGTGAACCTGAATCCCCTTTCCTCTTTGCGTATCAGCATTTGTCAGTCCAGGACACAAAGCAAACTGCAGATGAGAAGATGCACCCAGGAGTCAGAAAACCACGGGGGACGAGGAGAATAGAGGGTAGGAGATCCTGCTCAAACTCTCACAGCTGCCCTTAGCTTTGAGCCGATCCACGATCTCGCTCACTCTCCTCCTTCGGAGCTGTCTCCTGACACTTCAGACACTCCGTGATGGTAACACTGCGTGGTAGCTAGAGAAAACCCTGGTCCTTACTTACCTTCAGAGGAGTATTTGACTGTCTCTCCTTTAACGCTTGCCCGTACTGCCCACACTGTAATTTGGCTTACACCAGCACGACGTTAACCTTCTTGATCACCGCTTAGCGCAGTCAAGACCACAGTGCACATACGCCCCCTCAGCTCCCTCATCATTAAAAAGAATACTGAAGAATAACCAAATGTAGTTCCATCTCACCGCATGCCAGCTGGTACACAGGGGCACGCGGAGATGCTCTGCAGACTCTCTGCCTGCAGGCTTGCCTTGAGAGGTTGGATCCCCACCTCCGTATGCACGAGTCTCCTACCCAGTGAGGAACCTCTCCTGCGAGCACGAGCGTTTCTGCCCGGCGCTGTGCTCACCGACACATCAATAAAACCGGCAGCCACTGACTTGAAAGTCGTATAAAACCTGAAGCGCCAGCTGGGCACAGCACGTGCACCGAGGAGCCTGCAGACAGCACGCTGCCCTCGTAACACACGCCTGTGCCCTGTTCTGGGCACGTGACTTCTGGGCTGCTTCTTGTTTCTCCAAGTCTGAGGTTGCATTCTTGAGCAAAAAAGGGCACGATGATGTGGCAGGAGTTACACAGATGCAGAATCACTGGGGGCACGGAGAGAGCTGCTACTTTGCAGCAGTGACGTGGGATCAAGCCCCGATGAGGGGCACAGGATTGGTCTCGGCCATGTCACGGTCAGGACTGCCCAGGCCTCACCCCCACCGAGGTCTTACGCCACGTTAACTGTCTTGTTGTGAAAACACAATTATTTTTTTTTCACTGTCAAAGCAGGGACTACGGCAGCGTCAGGACCCAGCGTACTTGTCGGCAGCTTGCTCTGAAAAATTGCCCAACTATCATTTCTCAGTTCTGTTTGGAGCCGAAAATCATAACGCTGAAGTATGAGAAAAGATGACCACCTGTGTTTCCCATAATTGGGACAATCCGGTAATACCTGGAAGAGCTCCCGGTGGTTCTGTGTAAGTATTTGCCGCACGCAAGAATAAAGGCACTTTTAAAAAAGAGATCACAGGATTAGACGGGCGCTGGAACGGGAACAGAGAGCTTCCACAGAGGGTGGTCTAACTGCAGGAGAGCTCTTTAATGGGGCTTAGCTATTTTGGTTCTCTGCTAAAAAATTCATCAGGATCACCAGGGCAGCTCGATGTCAGGAGCCAGCGGCTTGAATCCGCTGTCCCGAACAGGACGTCCCCGCAGCAGCATGGGCGGGACTGTACCTTGGAATTGGGGACAGCTTTTGTTTTGCTACAAACAGCCGGTATGAAAGCTTAGCTATGTTCCCAGCTGTAAAGGCTTGCTCCTGGACTACAGCATTGCCAGAGGATCAGCATAAAGAAGCAGCACACTGATTCACGCGACAGCTTTGGCCAAGAAACACCAGCTGGCTTTCCCATGCCAGGCAAGCAGGGGCACCGCAGACCAAGAGAGACACCCCGAATTTAAGCGGTGCAGTTTCCCAGGGCGCACACTGATATGAACCAGATCAAACAGAGCATCTAAAATGAAAACAACCATGTCAAGACACGAGATTTAGTGGATTAGCATAGGCCTGAGGTGATTAAAAGCAAACAGTTACCAAATGTGTCACACCTCTCCCATCAGCAGTAAGTGCTGAGCCAGCCAGCTCGCCCTCAGGGAGCGCCACCAACGCGGCTTTCCAGCTCTTAGGGCACGGGACGAGTCTTCCAATCCTTGCGGTAAGTCAGAGCCCACAGTTTGAGACCTGCACGGCA